AGCAGCAGAAGTTGGAGGCAAGTTTCCAAGAACACTGGAAACGTTTTACTCGTTGCTTTGTGTTTAGTTGGCCGTTGAGTCTATTGTGTTTTGATTTCCAGAGTAAGTTGTGCCAGTGTCCCATATTATTGTCATTGCATGTGTTGCCAAACTTATGTTAAAGAACCCTTACTCGCCGAAAATTGAATTCCCTGGCAAGGTGCTGCAAGTGGCCATGAAGGAGCGCCGCAGCTGTGTCTTCACGAAAGATGATTTTTTGAGTCACGCATCTCAAGTGGATTTTCAGCAGTCATGTCTTGCCTGATAAAATCAGCCGGCGTGCTGTAACAGCGCGGGTCAGCCTCAGGATCACACATCGATTGACGTGTCATGATCAACAGGTTAACAGTCAGGGATGGTCATCCAACTGGATCCTTCATACTCATCATTCATACTGATTCAATTATCGAGGGACAAATTCATGCATAGGCCAAATACTTTGACCTGGCGATGTGTGTGTGGCTGTGGGGTTGTTTCTGAAGCCTGGGCAAATTACTGCCGTCAGGAATCAGACTTAGGGGAATTTCATTCTGAGCCGGCGTCCGCCGTTGGCACAAAACACAGCTGGGCCTGCCACGTTTTAGTCAGTCCGCTGTGTCTGTGTTAAGCAAGACTGCTCCCTTTACCCACTGCCAAAGACAACCAACGATTCCCACAGTCAGAGTCAGAGTCAGTCAGCTCTTTTGCCCGCCAGGCTTACCATCATCATCATGCGCTTCTACAGGCAGCGGCGGGGACGCTTGGTTGACCAGACCTCGTCAGAGCACTTTGAACCTCATGTTGACAGGGATTTGATCTGTATGTGTCAATCATCGTTTAAAGTTGTAGCTCGGGCCGGGCCCGCAAATCCAGCGTTGGTATTATTGGCAATGTAGGCCCGAAATGCAAGCAAAAGCTGGTTTTGGGGCTGAAAAGGGAGATTGCAGTCAGAGGGCTTGAAGTTGACCTGGCCAGTTGAGAGAGTCGCGAGCGCTTGTGACTCAGCAGCAGTTGTTATTGTTGATGGCCGCTCAACAAATGCTTACAGTCTTTAATAACTTGGGGCCAGTATTAAATCTTGGCGGTTGTAATTTGTGAGCACTTTCAAAAAGCTTGTTTGTTGCCCGCCCTCTCGACAGTAGGCTATGGGCTCTCAACAGTCGTGAGCGCTTGTGAATGGGCTCTCAACAGTCGTGAGCGCTTGTGAGTCCAGGAGCGGGGTCTCTCAACAGTCGTGAGCGCTTGTGAATTGGCTCTCAACTGTCGTCAACAGTCGCGAAATTGTCAATTTTCAATGGGCGACTCAACAGTCGTGAGCGCTTGTGAGTCCAGGAGCAGGGTCTCTCAACAGTCGTGAGCGCTTGTGAATTGGCTCTCAACTGCCGTCAACAGTCGCTCTCAACAGTCGTGAGCGCTTGTGAGTCCAGGAGCAGGCAGGGTCTCTCAACAGTCGTGAGCGCTTGTGAATTGGCTCTCAACTGTCGTCAACAGTCGCGAAATTTGTCAATTTTCACTGGGCTCTCAACAGTCGTGAGCGCTTGTGAGTCCAGTGACGGGGTCTCTCAACAGTCGTGAGCGCTTGTGAATTGGCTCTCAACTGTCATGAACTTGTGAGTGGGCTCGCTGCGAGCTAACTCTCAAAACTTCAATACTCGTGAGCGCTCAAGCTGTTGCTCAAGCTGTTGCTCAAGCTGTTGAGAGGGGTGGGTAAATTTTACCCACCCATCTCAGAGGTCGTGAGCGCTTGTGAGTGTTGAGAGCTCTCATATTTTAATAGCGCTTGTGAGATTTGGATAGCTGCCAAAATTACTCGAGAAATTTTGCCCGGGCTGTTGAGAGGGGTGGGTCAATTTAACCCACTCCTCTCATTAGGGGGGAGCGCTTGTGACTGCTGAGAACCCACCCCCCCCCTTACGAGCACAAACGCGTGTGCGCCCCATAACGGAAGGCTGCCTTCAGGGCCGCGCAAGTTGAGGGGTGGGTTCTCAGCAGTCACAAGCGCTCCCCCCTAATGAGAGGAGTGGGTTAAATTGACCCACCCCTCTCAACAGCCCGGGCAAAATTTCTCTAGTAATTTTGGCAGCTATCCAAATCTCACAAGCGCTATTATATGAGAGCTCTCAACACTCACAAGCGCTCACGACCTCTGAGAGGGGTGGGTAAAATTTACCCACCCCTCTCAACAGCTTGAGCGATCACAAGTTTTGAAGCTTTGAGAGTTAGCTCGCAGCGAGCCCACTCACAAGTTCATGACTGACAGTTGAGAGCCAATTCACAAGCGCTCACGACTGTTGAGAGACCCCGTCACTGGACTCACAAGCGCTCACGACTGTTGAGAGCCCAGTGAAAATTGACAAATTTCGCGACTGTTGACGACAGTTGAGAGCCAATTCACAAGCGCTCACGACTGTTGAGAGACCCTGCCAGCTCCTGGACTCACAAGCGCTCACGACTGTTGAGAGCGACTGTTGACGGCAGTTGAGAGCCAATTCACAAGCGCTCACGACCCTGCTCCTGGACTCACAAGCGCTCACGACTGTTGAGAGCCCATTGAAAATTGACAATTTCGCGACTGTTGACGACAGTTGAGAGCCAATTCACAAGCGCTCACGACTGTTGAGAGACCCCGCTCCTGGACTCACAAGCGCTCACGACTGTTGAGAGCCCATTGACAATTTCGCGACTGTTGACGACAGTTACTGCTACAACTTGGTGAGAGCCAATTCATTTCACGACTGTTGACGAGAGAGCCAATTCACAAGCGCTCACGACTGTTGAGAGCCCATTGACAATTTCGCGACTGTTGACGAAGTTGAGAGCCAATTCATTTCACGACTGTTGACAAGAGAGCCAATTCACAAGCGCTCACGACTGTTGAGAGACCCCACTCCTGGACTCAAAAGCGCTCACGACAGTTGATGAGAGTGCCCTGCCACAACTGTCAAGCAACGAGTGCTCCTCGCGAAGCCTGCGCTTACAATGTTTATCCAAGTCGCCGCACGGACTGCTTATCAACTTGAGAGAAGTCTTGTAGTGATTCTGTTGTTTACTTGACTGACGTTGGCTAAACACTGCTTTTGAAAGTCATTGGGTGGCCTGAATCTTTCTTGACTGACGCAACTGGCCGATTGCGATATTTAGCTGTTTTTTGGTTGTTACTCATACTTAAAACTGGTGTTTGAATGCCGGCCCGTCAGGTTGAGACTCATCGCATCTGAGCTTCCAGTGCGTCCAGGACCTGCAGTAGTGTCAGTGATGCAGACAGAGCGAGAGAGAGAGATCAGTGAGGAAAACATGTTGAGTGGATGTTGAGCTTTCACATCCGAAACTGAACTTGTTTTTGCCATGTAAACTGTCTGTACGCGCTTTCGATTTGAGTGCTTGCAATGACGATTGAGCCTCTCAATGTTTGTCGCGCTCGGTTGAAGAAACTGATGTTGAAGTGTTGCCAGCTTGACCAACAAGGTTTTTTTTATGGTGAGCCATAATTTGTGGTTTTCGTGGAGAGGCGAGAGGAGTCGCAAACAAGAATCAAGAAGGAACAATTCGCTTCATCAGGCGGCTCGAGCTGTGTGATGATCATACATGACAAGACTTGGACAGGGGTTATACATTATTATTCTGAATCGAGCCTTGCGAACATGCCGCGCCGCCGCGGGGTGAAGCGGCGAAACGTGTGCATGGATCAGTGCGAGCTGTCCGAAGGCCTGACTTGCAGAAACGATCCAGCGCCGGCTGAAGCCAGCGACGCGCCTTGGTGTGAGTTCAGTATTCCTTTCAACACAGCTGAGTTAATTTACATCCTGTGACACCAAACAATAACATGTGAGTCATTGGCCAAGTCAATGCAGGGGCTCACAAACGCTGAAACGATGTGACACAAGGTCATTCGAGTGGCTTCTGATTTTTCTGGTCTTGGCAGTTTCGAGCTGGCGGCCAAGCGGGTTGCGCAGGTTTTGGGCTGCAGAGCGGAGGTGATGTTTTCGAGCGACTCGGACAAGCACTGTCAGGCCATGCTTCTGCACAACCACTGCCCATTCAAATTCTATCCGGATGTTGCGTCACGCAATCACCAGAATGCCTTTGAGTGCGAATGGTATGGCGCAGGCTTTCCTTGCCAGCCGTTTTCAACGGCTGGGCTGGGCATGGGAGTTCATGACATGAAGGAGCGTGGGCTGCTACTTGCGCACTCACTGTCATATGTGGTTTCAAAGAGGCCAAAACTTGTGGTGTACGAAAACGTTCCTGGCCTACTTCGCAAGCGGCATCAAGCCTTGATGGCTTGGCTGCTCCTAACTTTGGAGGAGGCTGAGTACAGGTGGTGGTACACTGTGTTGAACACAAACAGCTTCGCGATACCACACAACAGGCGACGTTTGTACATAGTCGGGATACAAACTCGACACCTCAGGCGGGCATTTACATGGCCAACTCCTCTTCCCCGCGCGCCTGCCATTGACGAGTTTCTTGAGCCCAATGTCACAGGTAAACCTCGCCGAAGCTTGACGTTTTTTTTTTATTGGGAGGATTCATTGATGTGCTATTCAATAATTCCAAGCCACAGTCATTCTGCCATCAGCTAGATTGTCTGTGTGTGCGACAGCGAAGCTTTGTCAGGATGGCAGCATCCTCCTGCCACTGCTCCTGAGAGGGCACGACTTTTGGCAAGCCATGCGCTTGAGAAGATCCAGGAGAAGCTCATTGACCCCGACCAGTCGTGCTGGACCATTGACTGCTGTTCCACGGTGAAGTTTCTTTCCTACCGGAGGGACGAACTGATGTGCATGTTACACGGTCGCTCTTCTCGTCAGAGCTACTGGTGCAGCTCTTTGGGCCGCTTTCTGACCACTGCAGACCGAATGAAACTACAGGGGTACACATGCAAGAAGCAGCCTGTGCCAGACAGCGCCATGAATAAGATGCTAGGAAACGGCATGAGTGTAAATATTTTAGAGAGGGTTTTGCTGCAAGCTGCTTGGGCCATGGGGGTTGGCCATTAAATCAGTTTGGCGATGACGCTAGAGGCTCATCCAGCTGCAGCTGGTCGCACCCATGAAGACTCAGAAACTGTTACAGTGTTTGCTGATTTGTTGTTCAGTCAGCCAGCTGGAGAGCAACCGTGAGTGTGGAAAAGTTCGCGAGTGTCAGTCAGTTTCTTTATATTATACACACGTTGACTGTCGTTTGTGGAGTTCAATAGAAGCTTCCCTGCGGCCCGCGTTTGACGCGCAAGGACATCATTGACGTGGTGAATGACATGAGCCTGGCGCTTGGTGCGCTCGCAAACCATATTGTGCCGTTAGCCTTTGTGTTTGATGCAGGACTCATGTCATGACATTGAATCATCGGAATCATGTTGAGTCACATGCTGATTGGGCCTCATCTCAGTCTCATTGAGCATTGAGTCACATGCTGATTCGGCGTCGTTGTCATGGAGCATGTTGAGTCACATGCTGATTATCGGGCCTCAATGTCCTGACGTTGCAGCATGTTGAGTCAGATCCTGATTGTTGCCACTGCGTCGTGACCGGTTGCTGAATGCATTTGAAAGTTTTGAGAGGCTCTGGCAGCCCACCCGGCCCGGCACCTGCGGCATTTTGCACAGCAATGGCACCCAAGAAGGCGGCAAAGGTGAAGGCGAAGTCGAAGGCGGCGGCAGCGCAATCGGCTGCGGATGGTGATGACATCATGGCCGCCCCGGATGTGAATCACCAGTGCAACGTGGACTACCTTGCCAAGGTGCAGGATGCATGGGCCACGATCAACGGCCACCCGCTGTTTGAGAACCTCTCCTGCCGGGATCCCCTCCAGATCGAGGCATTCGGGAGCCAAACTTTCAATTTTTGCGCATTTATTTTTGATTTCTTGTCGTTGAACCGCATCTGCAAAATGTTTGTGCGATGTTTCGTTGACCTCTGATTGTGGCAGGAGGGCGCTGGCAGCAACAAGTCCGGCTTTCAGGCGGTGTTCCGGATGGAGGAGTTTAAGATGGCCATGGAGCAGACCAAGCAGTATGCCTGTGGGGGCAATCTCGCGTGGCTGAAGGTGACGTACAGTACGTCACCTGGTGTCCCATACAATGAGAGGGCTGTGCAGAAGCTGAAGGACTTCTACTTCGGGGGGAAGGTGGCCCCTCTGAGGTACCCCGAGAACCTGATCATCGCCGTGAGCTCCGATCAGGTCAAGGAGGGGAACATGATGACCCAGCGAGGTGCGATGGAGTCTGTTTCGCCGCCGGAGCTGCCCCTCAATTCAATTACCCGAATTCGGCTTGTGTATTTAAATTGTGTGTGTGTGTGTGTGATTTTTGCACATCATCAGTCAGAAGAATCAGACGAGGTTTTTAATACTGCTCTGGTGATGAACTTGACGACTTGTCTGTCTGAAATTCTGAGGCTCCATGCCTTCATCCTGCGCGTGGCTGAGCTGATCGATGCGAAGGTTCGGCGCTCGAGTCATGGCTGCGGGTCATCTTGACGACGATGTGCGTCTTCGAGATCCTGGAGACAGCTGATGCCCGGTCGGCTCGGTCGGACACCTTGCGGGAGGTAGCCGTGACCAACTTCAACGGCATCGCCTGGACCGTCATCCAGAAGGTGTACCACCTGGGCCTGTTCAAGGCGCGCAAGGAGCGTGACATGGGCAGTCTGGCTGCAGAAAAGGTTGCGGCGCTTTACAATGAGGACAGGCAGATGACACAAACAGAATGTTATTTTGACTTTTGAATCAAATTTTCAAAGCAACTTTGATTCATCAGCGTGCAATGAAACTAAGCTGATTGACTACTCATTGGCGAGTGCAGCCCTTTGATTCATCAGCGTGCAATGAAACTAAGCTGATTGACTAATCATTGACGAGTGCAGCCCTGGCCCCAGGAGCGGTCCATGGCGGAGGATTCGGAGGCGGTCACAGACTCGTTTGTGGACCAGGCCATGACGGTTTGGAACCGGATGTTGAGCCACAAGGAGATCGCGGAGGTCGTCTTGAGCATGGACTTCGAGTTTCTCAGTTGTTCAAACCCGACCTTTTAATGATCATTTTTGGTTTTGCTTTTAAATGGGCCTCAATGGGCGAACCTTTTATTTCGGAATTCTTTGGGCCGTGAGGTTTGGGCATGATGCCCCCCTGGCTGGCATCGTCAACCTGCAGACCGTCATCAGCAAGACACGCACTCAGGAGCCGGGTATTGACACTCATTGACATATTGAATTGGGGGGTTGCGAGTGTTGAGGTAAGGTGAGGCGAGGGAGTCATTGTGACTGTGACACGACTGAGAGAGCGAGTGAGACCAGCTCAAGCCGTTTTTTTTGACCATTACAGTCATCAGTCAGTCGGGCCGTTAAATTTAGGATTACGGACCAGCAACTGACGATGAATGAGAACACCCTACTAAGATTTGACATGAAACGAGTTAGCGCAATTGCTCGGAGGAGTGCCTCTTGTGGACCTTGCGGTGCATCCAGCAGTACTTCGCCTGCGGGTACTTGGTCAGGGGCGAAGCAACCACACGCGGATTGGCTGGCCACGGGAGCAATCCTGGCTGGGTTGCATTTCTGATGTACAAGCAGGAGCTGCTGGATTACTTGACCAGTGGCTTCATCGACGGGGTCATCGCCGACGCCGAGAAGAGGAAGGCGATCAGACAGGTGCTCAGCAACCACCAGACGCATCACACGCTGTTCGGGTGGCCCAAGGAGCTTTTCACTGTCCAAACATCATGACCGTTACTGTTTTACATGAGTGTTGATGTTTGGTCAAAACAATTTGTTCAAAATAGGTGTTTGCATTTTATGAAGTTCAAGTGGAGCTTTGCCAACTGAAGGACAAAGAACAGCCAGACCTGACGTGGCACTCCAGTTGGCTGGAGTCAGAGCGCTCTGCGCTCTTGCTGGCTGAGGCTACTGCGCTTCTGAAACAACATGTCGTTGCCTTGCCAACACATCATCAGAATCAGATCAAGCGTTTTCACGGTGTTTGCACACTTTCGGCTTGCGTGGTCTGAATCGTAAATTTGCAGGCTTGCGTCTACACCAACGCCCATGACCATGTCCTGAAGCAGGCGCTGAAGAACCGCAAGACGCCGGCTGAGGCGCTAGCCTACGGTGGCCTTGAGGAGCTGGTGAAGGACGCGTTGAGTTCGCGGATATTTTGTGTCCATCAGACTTTGCTTATTTCCCAGACAGCGCAATAATATAATAATCCCACCAATCAACGTATTTGGTTAGTGGTTTATGTGTATGTAATTTTGATATGCGCTGCTTTGGTCAGGAGATCACCAAGCACGCTGACAAGGAGAAGGAGGCTTCCGGCCAAGTCGTTCTGCCAGGCACCGCTCCAGCCCCATCCAGCGATGCAACAGAAGTTCCTGAGCACATCCTGGCAACGTGCCTGGAGGAGCGACATGACGTGAGTTGAAGAGAGTTGGAGAACCGTGTTTTGAAGGCGCCTGTTTTAACTGTGCGTGGATCTTGAAGTCTAACGGCAATACTAAAATACTGTTCAACGATTTGCCAGGACCTGGAAACCGCCGAGGAGAAGATCTTGAAGTACAAGGCCATGGCAATGAACCTCGTCAAGCAACGGGTCAAGTTGCTGGTGGAGCCCTCGTCCGAGAATGCCTTTGCCACGATGATCGCAGATGCGGAAGCTTGGTCAACAATTAGACAAGTTTTACTTTTTGGCCTGAACTTGGCAACAGTGATGAACAGAAAAATCATTTAATTCCTTGGTCCTCAGGGTGAAACGCTGACCAAGGAAATCGGAAAAGTCAGAGGTTCAGAATCACGCCGTGTGATCGCCATCTACGACAACAAACGATGTGGGGAGGCGATGACGGCGCCGCATCTCAGAGTGCCGCCGTTTAGAAAAGAGCACGCGCAGAAGGTCGTCCGGGCATTCATTCAGTGCAGGGGGTCCGCCGAGCTCCATGACGGGGACCTGATGTTTTTCTTTGATGCTGGCCGCCATGGTGCCTTGTCTGTGTTTTTACATCAACACACGCTTGACCATCAACACGGCCTCAAATGTTTGTTCAGTCATTTAACTTAGATCCTTTGCTGCTGATCTGATCGTCCGACGCAAATCCTTGCCAAATCCAATGTGTGGATTCAGGAATTTTTGCGATTGTTAAAAAGTTTTGATTGTTGGCAGGCAGTGAGATGTAACTCTTTGATGAACATTGTTACTACGGAGAGTTTGCAGGCAATGACCGGGCGTTCTCGGGGCTGTTTGCCACGGAAGATAACAAGCGCATCGCCCACGAGAAGAGGGTCTTCTTCCTCTCCTCCTCAGAGGAGTCCGTGCGATTGCGTCGCACGCTGGTACGTGGCCTGGGCAGCCTGCATCAGGCCAGGCTTATGGGCCAAAAGCACGACGATACAGATGCCGGCGAGCGAATTTTGTAAATTGCACTTAAAGTCTTCAATGTTGAACAGTTCATCGTACGAGCACGTTGTGTCTGACTGAGTCACAGGTGGAGATGCTGCATGTCTTCAGCCGCTCCACGTTGGACATGCCTGAGGTGAAGCATCCGATCTACCCAGGCAGCAGCTCTGGTGATTTGATTGGCCCAATCAATCTCGAGCGCTTCCAGGACCGCAGCTGGCAGGTTACTGAGGAGGAGAAGCGCAAGATGCTCGGGGGCTTCAGGATCGCGGTGGGTGGGCTCTCAGGGGATGCGTCGGAGAGCACGAAGCGCACGCAGTTCAAGAGGAGTGAGCTGAAGCGGAAACCTGCTGGCACTGCCGACGACAACGTGCTGTACGAGCCCTTCTGCTACCACGGCCTGCCCCCTGAGTATTACGTGGACTCATTGCCTGACTTAGTTGACTTAAACTTCGGTGCCTTAATTTTGTGCCTTTTTGAGTTCCTGCGTTTTCCTTTCAGTCTGCCAAAAAGTTATTTTAGCAGAGGATTTAAGTCTGGTCAAGGACATGTTGGCTGTTTGGAGCCCGCGAGCTATCATTGATTTCACCGCCTCGGATATGACTGCTGCCTTCGTGTGCCTTGAGGCGAGAGTCCCTTATCTGGGGATCACCTTCACCGAGCAGCACATGCTACATTGCCAGACTTAGCAGGACTTAAATCTCAAATTTGCTTTTTTTTGGGTTTCCTATTGTTTAAGTTGTTGCTTTTTTTCTCAAGACGGAGTGTTAATTTGGTCAAGGCTACAGGGATACAAACACCTGGCCGACCTGGTGTTCGAGGCGATGTGCAAGGAGTCTTCGCCCCTGCATGACCCAAAGCTCAGTGCCCTGCTGAAGCCCAAGACGGACCCCCAGACCAAGAAGCGCCCCCGCGCCAAAAAGGCTCCTGCGCCGGCCGACGGCGAGGACGACGATGAGCATGGTCCTGGTGGTGACTCCGGTTCAGACGATGCTGGCGGGGAGCCAGAGGTGGCTGGGCGAGGGCGGCAAGGGCGGCAATGGCAATGGCGGCCCGGAAGCGAAGCCGAAGCCGAAGAAAAGGTCACGGAGGCAGACGGGTGGCACTGGCGCTGGCGGTTCTGGCGGTTCTGGCGCTGGCGGCTCTGGCGGCAATGGCATCATGAACCTGATGGACCAGCTGAAGGCGCTGCGCCAGACCTAGGCTGGAATAATCATTCATCGCGGCAATGGGCCGCTTAGGACTTTAGATTTCAGATGTTTGCGTGTTTGGCACAGAGCCTTCTAATCTGCAAGAATCAGACTGTCGAAGAACAGAGTTGACAAGTTACTTGCATGGAACGTGTGTAATTGAAATGCATAATAAGAGATAGTTGGCCATGTGCTAGACTTAGGGTACCGGTGACGGTGTGCCAGACCTGAATGATCTAGGTTGCAAATCTCCAGGAGGCTGATTGCAAAGTTTGACTCTGCGAAAACCCGCCGAAGACGACGGCGTGTGACATTCTACGATTCGAAGAAAGGCTGCTCTTGGACTGTCAATGTAATTCAATCCGATTCTGTTCGTTTCGAAGCACTGCCTCGTTTGCTTTCAATAGCGCTTGGATGCCCCACAGCCAAAGTTGCTGTGGCCAAGTCATGGGTTTCCAAGACTTGGGCATTAAAAATACTCTGGGCGGTTGGCGTTTGCCCAGGTGATTCTGATCTCTGATGCGCCCGGAGGCCCAAGCCCAAGCTCAGGACTGTGCTTGCCATTGCCATTGAGTCCTGGTCCTGGTTGTAACTTTAACGGCAGTCTAGGTTGAAAGTGGTGTTTGGATGCCCCACAGCACTGGATTGCCCAGGCTGTGGCCAAGTCATGGATTTCCAAGACTTGGACATTCAATTAGAACTCTGAGCGGTTGCCGCCTGCCCAGGTGATCTCTGATGATGCCCGGAGGCCCAAAAGCCAAGACTGTGCTTGCCATTCAGTCTGGTCCTGGTTGTAACTTCAACAGTAGTTGAAAGTGATGTTTGGATGCCCCACAGCCTGGATTGCCCAGGCTGTGGCCAAGTCATAGATTTCCAAGACTTGGGCATTAGAATTGCCGCCTGCCCAGACAGATGATCTCTGATTTGCCTGGAAGCCCAAATGCCCAAGCGCAGAGTCTAACTTTGACAGAAGTCTAGGTGTTTGGATACCCCACTGCCACAGCCTGGGTGCTGTGGCCAAGTCATGGATTTCCAAGACTTGGATAGTAGAATCTTGCGAGCGGTTGCCGCCTGCCCAGGTGATCTCTGCCCGGAGGCTCAATCCCAAGCTCTGTCAGACTGCGCTTGTCAAGACATGACAAAGCTGAAGATTGGGCTCATCATCTGACAAGGGACTTGGCGACACTCGTATTTGCTGTTTCACGTCAGTGCCAGGCCATTCCGTGACGCTGCTGAGGCCAGACTCGCTTATTATCCAACACCTTAGGCTCCTCAGAGGCTGCCTGTGAGAGTCGGAATGACGGTCACAACCGCTGAACATAGTTTATGGCTTGCAAGCTGCACATGAATCAAGTTGCTGCTGTATTAATTGTTCAAGAAAGCCCGCTGCGGTCTGACTGTGTGATTGCCACTTGAATCTGAAGGAAGCTCAGCCCGTGACTCATTGATGGATGACGGGAAGCCAACCGCCACGGTCACTGTCGCCTTTGACAGCGGCAGCGTCGAGTCGCTCGTGCATGAGCAGCTCTCGCGCTTTCACATGGCGATGTGCCTGAAGATGGGGGTCAAGGAGGGCGATCCCCTGTGGGAGCCGCTCCCGGTTGGTTAATTTGGCTTTATTTCACTCTTTTTCTGCTGAAGGCTGTGTGTGTGTGTCACCTTTGCTGCTGCATTTGCTGTTCAGGAACGATCGCAACACAGCTGAGCTTTCAAAGTGTGTGAAGTTTCCCGAGCCTTACCTCGCGCAGCTCGCCTGGCTACAGCATTGTGTCAGCAAATTTAATCAACCCTACTTGACTCGAGCCAAGGATGGATGGTGGACGGAAGCTCTCCATTGATACCATGAACTCCCATCCGATCATGCGGAAGCTTGATCGGATAGCGTGTGGCAATGCTTGTTGTGAACAGTCCGCTGCGTGTTTCTGTTGCAGCCGCCCATTGTTTCCAAGGGACATCGTCATGCGTCTCTGGAATGAACGCGTCAAGCTTGAGTGTGACATCCTCAAGGAGAGGTTCCCTGGCGGCTCTGACGAGTTTTTGATCCAGAAGTTGAATGAGGAGAGCAAGCATTTGTTGATGAATGTGCGTAATTTGCGATGTTTTGCGCTCACAGAGTCTCAGCGGCTAGCAGGACTGTGTGTTGCCGCCGATGGTCGTACCGCTGGAGGGCATCATGTGGCTTGCCTTGCCCAGCTGCAACGGGAATGAGGAGCGCCCGTTGTTCAGCCTGAGCGCCTTGACTGCATTGACCTTCAACTTGGCAGTGCTTCTGTTCTTGTTCAAAGTTGAAACGCCCTTGACATTGAAGCCAGTCATGTCCATGTGCAATTCAAATTCTTGGAGGTGGAGGCAAGCTGATCGTAGTTCTGAGCGGTTTCTTCTTCACAAAGATGTGATAGGCTGAGGGCAGTAGTACTCAGTGGCCGAAAACATCGGACCGTCCTTTGCCCTGCAAGCAAGTGCTCGGCAAACAGCAGCAGATTGAGTTTCCCCGCAGTCAACAATGCTTGCAGGCGTTGGACCCTGGACGAGACCTACTGTGACAGGCGCTTCCGTTATTTTTCACGTTTGTGCGGCTTGCGTGTCAACCTTTGTGCGGTGAGCTTGGCAATTCTCAAAAACACGTGTGTTTTTCTCGATATTTTCGCTAATTCTAGCGAAGTAACGTTTAGGGCTAAAAAATTACTTCGCTAGAATTCTGTTCATAAAACGGGGGTGGGGGGGGTGGGGGGGGTGGGGGGGTTCGGAAGCGTCAACAATGTCACAAACACTTGCATTCATTAAACGGGGTGCTTACTAAATTGGGGGGTTCGACGCCAACAATGTCACAAACACTTGATTCAGCCCTGACGGATCCCAGTGCGCCATTTCAAGGGATTTCAGGGCAGTAGGGCCAGGATCCATTGCATCCAACTGAATATGAACTTTTCGATTGGTTCTTTGTTTGTATTTTTGCTTGTTTGTTTAAGCTTGTCTGCGGCTTTTGTCGTCGCAGGTCGCTCCTTAGTTTGTCGGCTTATTAATGCCGTTGTTGCTTTTCCAAACCCAGCAGTGTTTGTTTCGCGCGTTCATGGCAGCAAGATGGGAACGAAGAATCAGAATCCAGTCCATAATTATCATAGTAGGGTTGACATCACTGCTAGTCTTCAATCACTGCTAGTCTTCAATCAACAAGTCAGCCCCCCAATAATAATTTAATGCTGTGTTTAAGTTTGCTCTCCCTTGTCACCCCGCCTTCATGCGCCCAGCAGCGGCCGGTCAGGCCAGCAGCTGCCCGCCCGGTGAACCTGCCGAGTGAGCCGAAGCAGGCGAGCCAGTTCCGTGTGCAGGTTTGGGTCGGTTTGGGAGCAGGACAGTTTAACAAGTCCATCAAAGCTGTGTAGGTAGATGAATTCCACAGCCTGTAGGCCTGGGAAATTGGACCCCGTGCCTCTGTCACGGCACCTGAGCCGACCAGGTTATTATTGCGAACGAACAAGCCAACAAACAAACAGGGACTGAGGGCATGCAATCCGAGATATCATTCAGTGAACGTTGCTACACTTCGTCTTCATGTAGATACTAGGAATGAAGCTGTCACAGACATGTTATTACTTGCAGGCTTTGTGTGGAAACACATTGCCCAGCAAAGCAGTTCGCGCACGCAAACTTGACTCCCCTTCCAATTCGCAGTGAACCGACATGGCATGGCGCCGCTTGCCATAACCTTAAACACTGACTCAACCCGGGGTTGGGTATATATTTTCTTCTGCGTTCATTAGTTTTGGCTCGAACTTGGTTTGAAAGGGCGACTTTTAGCGCCATCGTCGTGCTGATGGCTGACGGCCAGCCATCCACCAATGCCGCTGTGAAGAGGGGGAAAGTCATTTTGCTTACCAAGCAGAGCCTCGAGTACAAGGTGTACAAGTTAGTTCTCAACGCTGGCAGTGGCACCGGGGGCAGCGGCCCAAGCACACCGCGGGCAGACTCGGGCTCTAAGAGGTTCTTCGAAAAACACATGTATGAGTGGAAGCAAGCCATCCGCAGGGCCAACTCCGATGACAACAATGTGCACGAGCAAGGTCACAATGCCCAATTCAATGTGGCCGAGCCGAGCCAGAGACAGGCAACGTAGTCTTACTTCAATTTAGCCAGACAAGGTTTGGCCCAATGTTTCGGATGTGTGATTTCACACATCCCTCGCAAGCCAGCCAACCTTTCTTTAATTTAGCCAGACAACGTTTGCGCCACACAAGTTTTGGATGTGTAATTTAATTCATTTATTTGTCAACAGAAAGTGTGTTCAGAAAGTTCCCTACTTCTGCATTTTAAATTCAATGCAAGACAGGTCGCAGCTGCTGGATGAGGGAAAAAGGAAAGGGCCGCCTGGTTGTTGACGCAAGGGTTTGTGTGCCTTGCGACTTTCAAAAAGCCATGCCTGCTTTTGAAGCAGCTGGCTGGCAGGATGGACGAGTAGCCCGAGCACCTTGCGTGCACCGTGCGCTGCGCCTTTGTTAAAACCCTCTAGGCCCCGTGCCGAAATTGGGTAGCTGTTCTGAGGTCCTTGTTGGTGTTGCTTCCCAAGTTCCATTGATCGCCATTTGGCTCAAGACACAAGTGAGGTTCAAGATCTGATGTGTGACTGCGAACATTCGTGACGGGCGATAAGAGCAAAACAACTGCTTGCGCTGCATTGTCAGGACTACTGGTGTAACTATCATTCCTTCTTCCTTACAACGTTTACACGGGTTCGGCTATAACGGCGTCGTCCGTATACACCTTTCTACGTGGTTGGTATTGAAGCTTGAGGGTTCGGTGCACAGCGTCCCACGGGACGTCACCTTGCCGTCTCTTGACAGGTTATCAGCCGTATCTACAAGCTCTACACTGGTCTGGGAGACAGCTGGTTTATTGCGGGTACAGGGACAATAAAGGAACGATAACCTACACAGTACAATGGCGTCTTCGGCGAGCCCAAGTACTGCAACTTTTGGGAACAGCAGCTCAGAGGGATCCAATGGATTGATGGCTCTCCCTGCGGTGATGGATATGATTGCAGATTCACAGGATGAACCTGGGAGCGGAGGTTCCGCGCTATTCAGCGACATATCTACTCCCACAAGATCATGGAAGCAGATCGATGTTCATCAGGAGTCGAAGAAAAGAGAATCCCCACCGAGAAGATCATCATCTTCGCCTGCAACACCACGGACGTCGCAGAAGGGCGTGAGATCGACATCGAAGGGTGGGAGGTCAAAATCACCCACCAGTGCAGATTTTCGCGCCGTGATCAAAGAGAAGAATAAGATGGAGGTGGAGATCGGGGAATATCAGAAGACACTTGATGAGATGTCGGCAGCAATGGCGAATCTTAACCAAGAAGACTATGGTAGCACCATCCGGATCCAGGAGCTGGAAAGACGATGCGAGATTGCCAGCAAGCAGTCGGGACATCTAGTGAGTCACCACCAACACCACATGGCTGAGGCATGGCGCAAGTTTGAGGAAGAAGCCCAACAGATGCGCAAAGTGGAAATGAACGCATTTCAGTACGGGGAGAAGAAAGACATGGAGTCGAATATTATGATGCAACAGATGAGGCAAGCTGAAGGAACTATCATGGAGCAGAAGCGGGAGATTGCATAGATGAAATCCTACATGGCAAGCGAGAAGTCGGCCGCGCAGGAATCAGCTATACGTGCAAATCAGATACACCGTGAGGCTTCACAACAGATATCAGTTTATCAGCAACAGATCAGAGGCATAGAATCTTCTACATCT